CGTCGGGTATCTTCGGAGACCGCGGCCGATCTTCCGGTTCGACGGCCGGGCGATCTGTCACGCGGATCTGCGGCACGCCCTTCGCTCGCGTTTCCCCGTGGAAAGCGTTTCTCGCGCGGGAACGTCCTCGAATGTAAAATACGTCGGCAGAGGCGAGTGGCAGGGCGCGCACGGAATCCACGGCCATAAATTCCGGTTGTCCTATCCCTCGGCGACATGACGGAAGGTGCCCTATACATCGTCGCCGGCGGCGGACTTAATAAAATGCAAAGACGACGAGCACACATAGCCGGGGCGGGCTGACATATCGACGCAATACCGACCCACTCAGACCTCCTCGAGGAACGTCAGATGGAAGGAAGGACGTGGAAAAATCGTTCCTTGCGTCGCTGCGGAACGAACGTCCTCGAGGACCTTCTACGTGGAAACCGGCAGCCACTTCCACCGTCTGCGACTGTCCCAGCGCCGCTCCTCCCGACGCCGCTCGCGCAAACTCTCGCCCGACGTCGACTAACAACCGACGGATCGCGGGCGAATCGGTTTTTCGATAAGCCCCGCTTCGTTCGAAAATTACGGAACGCTCCGCGGGAAGTTTCTTATTTCGACGGCTCGCGAGGAATTCGCTGCAGTTCGAAGTTTCGAGTTGTCCGGAGTTCGGAGATGTTTATAATACCGTCAGAAAATTTCGCGGATAATCGATTAACCGTGTAATTATGAAATCTTCCGGCGGAAAGATCGATCGAGAAGTTCCGGCGAAATTCCCGTCGCCGAGAAAAGTGAATTCCACGTGTCTGCGACGGCCGAGCGATAACCGCCTCCCACCGGAAAGCTCGAATTACCCGATTCCTCGAAGTGTACGGCGCACGTGTCGGTTTCCCACGCGATCAAAACGCAGAAGGAGATAAACAGCCGAGTCGATATTCAGGGAAAACAAAGGAGTCCCGCGGCGGAGGGGGCGGGGGCCGGGTTGGCTGTCGTTTAGCAACGTTCGTTACGATCTCGAGGGGCGGTCGTCGGGGACGGGCGGCGGAATGGAACAGTGGCGAGATCGGGGGTGAGGCGGAGCGGGTTAACACTTTAAGCCGTCCTGTTTAATATGGCTTTATTACGTAGGTGGTAACGAACCGCCGCGAGGCCATTATGCGGCGATAAAATGCGCAACGCACGATGCACCAACACACGTATCGGCGGCGGGCTCGTCCACCTGGCGTCGCGACACGCACACGCCCGGCCGGCCGCCGCCCCCGGTTCGCCCTCGACACGCACACGCGTCGAAGTTGACTGAGCCGCTCGTTTGACGCGTGCACACGCTCGCGACACACCGGCTGCGGTCGTTCGTTGTGTCACGCGGTCGCCATGGTTACTCGAAATTCAATTCGCTTTTTGCACGGGATCTGTGCACGCACAGAGGGTGCTGAACGGGGCCGGCTTCCAGCCCTCCATCTCCCGCGTCGCCTCTCTTTTTTTCGGTTAATTGCACGTGTAACGGTTCCGCGGAATTTTCTGTAATTCCGCCCGCGCTGCCGGAGTCCCGAGCGTTGTATTTCGGACCGGCTTTCCGGCGCGGATAGGCTGGAAACTGGGCTACCACTCTTTTCCCGGGGAATGTTGGTCGAGAGCGCGGAGCGTTACCTCGACGCTTGCTTTTTTCCTTTAACGCGATATCGAATAGATTTCTCCTGATTATCGCCGCCGCCGAGGAAACAATGGAACTTAATGCACTCGCAGAAGAAACATTAATTTATAAACGCATTACGAAGTCTCTCGAGAAGTACACTCCTCGCGAGGAATGGAACGTTTAGACCGTGCTTCACCGCCATTATCCTTGAAACATCGCGGATCCTGGAAACGCTCGCGTCATTCCGATACGAATTCCACCCTTACAATTACGTACCGCCGGTATAGTCACTCTCGAGCGCAAAGTCGCGCAGAAAGATAATTCCCGCTTCTTGCTCCGCCCCGTTCAGAAGACGACCCTGGAACTTGCTTTATAATTTCCAGCGCGGCCGTATTTCACGCGCGATCCGCTGGAAGAATAGTCCCGAGTCGTCCCGGAAAAAACGAGCCCGCGACCCGGTCACGTTGCGCCGCGTCGCGCGAAAATAGCGCGCATTCGGGGCGCGACGCCGGAATGGCAATGAGCGCGAGCGGGAACTCGATTCTTACACGCTCGTCCCGGATGCTATCGGTGCACTCAGCAACAATTTCTCCTGCCGTCATTCACGATCCTGTAATATGTTCGCCGCCCTTCGACCTCGGTTCGCTTCTTCCTCGGGGATGGTTTACCCTTATCTTTGAGAAATTCCTCCCGTTCGTTGCGCGCCGCGAACAATTCGCTTCCACGGAGAGGACGGTGTCGCTCCTGCCCATTTCTCCGTTGCCCGTGCGTTCAACGGGGAAGAAGAGGTGTCGTCGGGCGTACGTGTGCGCCGTATTTCCCGGAAAAGTCGCGGCTTCCGTCGGGTGTCTCCGTTCGAACCGCATCGCGGGTCGGAGGGGGCGGCTGAGGGATGGATGGCAGAAGGGATTGGATTTGGTTATGCGTCGCCACGTCCGGGCTGGATTTGTCCCCGTCAGCCAGCGCCGCCCGAAGACGGAGCCTGTTGAAAAAGACGAGCTTCCTCGGGAGAAGTTCGGGGGAGGAACGAGCCGGGTATAAATTTTTCTCACCCCCGTCGCCACCCACTTCCAGGGAATGTCAGCTCGCTTCCACCTCTACAGCTCGTAACCCCGGCTGTCTTCCCGCGGGGGACCAACGGCAGCCAGTTCCCGGAGCGAATTCGTTACGAGGAATTGATCGCGTCGGACGTTGAAGAGAAGGGTGGCAACCGAATCCTACGGATTGCTTTTATTCGAGGCTCCGCGGCGCGAGACGTTCTCGCGAGGGATCTTTGCAGGTTGTCGACTGTGGGATTAACTATTCGCGATTGACACGATGTGTTTTGGCAATCTGTGTTGCACATTCTTGTAGGTTGCCAACGCGGTGGGGGTTGGAGTTTCGTTATGGTTACTGTCGGTGGCTGAAGGTTCTTTGAACGTTTGGTTTCGGTGTAAAATGTTGTTATTTAATTTAGTTCAATTTATTTTGATGGTTTCCATACTTGAAAATACACGTTGCAGATTCTGCGTAGCAAAGGGTTAATGATGTTTTTGGGGTTATGAACAGAAGGCTTCTGTTCTCATGTTCTTGGGAATTATGGGTGAATTCTATGGAACTTTTAGTCGCTAGGGTAGATTAACCGTAGTGAATCTTTTTGAAAATAGTTCTCGTATCTCAACCCGCGAGCGCACGCGACAATAAAAACGTCACTTTACGCGAATACTTACGAACGACTGGCAGCTCCTGCCTCTTTGTTCGTCTTCTTAATTCATCGGGTTTAAAGCCGGGCGATATACATGTCAAACGTTTTACGCCGCGGTTTTACGCTCACGTTTACATTCCCCCGAGATACCTCGGCTGTCGTTCGGTTTCCTTTTACTCTTCTTTTTATGGAAGGACGCCGCGGAATTAGAGTATATTCCCGAGAAAGTGGCTCTCCCTTATCGAGAAGATATTTTCAATTTTTATTTCATCGGAGCCGCCGTTGAAGCGTCAGCCAGGCTTCACCGGCAGTCCTCAAGATCCGCGAGTGTCTTCAGCAGCTTCAAGCGTCTACCGAAGTTTCAGCGAAACATCGGATCCAGACGAAAATGCTTCGCAGGATTCCGTAATACTTCTGGAACAATGTAATCCATTATTTACTCGAAACTATCGTTGTCCTTAAGAAACCCGGTCTCGCAGAGTAGATAGACACTCTTAACCCTTCAGCGATTTCAGCGACAAAGAGTCTTCCCCTATTTTAATATAACAAAATCACGCAACGAATCGATTTGTAGTACAGTAAAGCAGATAGTTCTGTAAATTAAAGATAAAGCTATCAACGTTTCGTCAGAAATCGATGAATATTCGTCCGCGGAGCGTGTACGATGAAGAACCGACAGACAAGCGTATCGACTGTCTTCCACCCCTGCTCCCAGCGGCGTGTGTTCTTCATCCCTGTTTTTTCGCGCGGTGTTCGCCAGCTCGCGAAGGCTCGACGTCGGAACGCCACAGGTGGCGAGCTGGCATTCTCTGTCCGCTTACCGCAGTCTCATCAACGTCAGCCACTTTCCGTATTACCGAATAGATTATTTACGAGTTAATAATGCGCCGCCCTTCCCGCGGCACGCCGGTTTGTCCGTGATACGCGGCGCACACGTGCCGCCAAAGTAAGTATCCGGGCCGCCTTTAAAACGGCCACGGTTTATCGTCGATCCCAAGGCCCGGCGAGTTTTATATGCACCCCTCGGTTTTAGTAATTTTAAGGGTAGACGCGCGTGTTCGGAACAATAAAACCCCTTGCCTCCGTGCGTCGCGGCCGCCTGCGCATTGTGTCGCGCGGAATATCGGCCGGTTACGACGGCGGCGTTCATAAACTTTATTAGACTGCCGACGGTGATAATGTTATGCACTGGCTCCGCTGCTTTTTATTATGCTAATTAACTATAGACGTCGCCGGGTTCCTATTTCCAGCATATTGCTTCTTCCGATAAGTTCCGTTCCTCGCGTGGCGGGACGGGTTATTACACGGCAGTTTCGTCGCATGGCCGGAAGACTGCGATCCCGGCGTTCAACGGGAAGCGTTTTATTACCGAGAAACGCGGGGATCCGCTGGAATCCCTGAAAAGAAGAATCAGTAACCGTTCGTTTCCTCCGCGAAACGTTCGAATAAGGATCGAGCTAAAGCAAAGGGTTCACCGAACCGAGCGAAACTTGTTATTGTACCGTGACTCTCGCCCCCCCGCGGGGACCGCGACGAGCGCGTATAATACCGGTAATCACATTTCGTTACGGCCGACATTACCCTGTCGATCAGCGTTAAGGAAGATTGAAACCGCCCCTTTGATTCTTCGCGGCTGATCCGCGCCCGTCGAATCGGCCGATCAATGCGCATTAACGTGTCCCTCTGTTTCCGTTCCAGGAGAGAAGCCGTACAAGTGCAGCTGGGAGGGTTGCGAGTGGCGATTCGCGCGTTCCGACGAGCTGACGCGCCACTATCGCAAGCACACCGGCGCGAAACCGTTCAAGTGCCGGCACTGCGACCGATGCTTCTCCCGCAGCGATCATCTGGCACTCCACATGAAGAGACACGTGTAATCGATCGTCTCCGCGAGCGGTCGTTCGCGCGTCGAGCGGTCCAGGGCCGAGGCGCGAGGCTCCTTCCTGCCCGAGGACACCCGAAGACATTGAGCAGCGGCCGTGGGCTTGCGATTGCGTTTCTTCCACGGATTTCCCGGCGGTCCGCCGTGCCGCGGGCTCGTCAGGGTAGTCGAGCTGCCCGACCAGCGGGTTCGCGCGCCGAACATCGATGATCCGCCGAGCCGGGACGCGCTCCACCGAAGAACGTTCACCGCTCGGTAAATCGTTCTGCACCCGAGATCGAAGCGTCACCTGGATCCTTCGCGATCGATCCGCTCGTCCCGAGTATCGGCGAGTCGCCGACCGAGTTCGTTCGATCTAGATAACGTCGCGATTGGAAGTCGCGGCCGAGCCCTCCACCCCATTCCGGCGGGGGCGACCCGCGTCGCAGCTCGAACGGAACCGCGCGGTACTTTTTTACGTTAATACACAGCGGCCAAGAGGACATCAGGCGTGTCAGTAGAGACTGTTCGTAGTCGAAACGCGGCCCCGCGCGGGAACAGCGCGCGGGAGTCCGTCCCGGAACCTTAATCACTGCCAATTCATTAAATTCTAAGATCAACGGTGTACCGCCGGCGACCTCGAGCTGCCGCGGACAGCGGCCGCCGCCGGGGAACGGGGCGGAGAGCCGGGCAACCGGCGAGTCGCGGAAACGAAACGTTCCCGGGACAAGCGCGCCGTCCGCCTCCCGCGAAACGGTCGAATCGACGGTCCGCCCGTGGAATCCCGGTTCACGAGGACAATAATGCTGTCTGTCGGTGCCAAACGTTACTTCCTGTCCCCTTCACTGCCTCCGCATCCCCTTCTCGTGCACGCGCGAGGATCTAGACGACATCCCCCGTTCCCTGTGCGCACTTCTCATTTTTCCCGGCGAGATCGAGGAACCGGGCGACGCTCCCCTGAGCTTCGATCCTTCGACGGGCCGCGATAATCGACATTGCATTCGCGGAGGGACGGAGCGAAACGGCGAGCTCCAAGGGTGAGTCGGCCGGTCGGTCGATCGGTCGGGACGGGGGACGGAGCGGAGGTCCGGCCGTAATTGAATACGTGATTTCGGCCAGTTTCCGCGAAAGCAAAGTTTACCGTGCCGCGCGCTAATCCCGAATTTACAGTGCGAATTATATCGCGGGCCTCCGCTTCTCGACCCCTCCTCCTCCTCCTCCTCCCTCCCGCAGCCCGCGCCACCCCGTTTCGTTCCCGTGATCCGCGCGAGGGCGACGAAGCGAAAGAAAGAACGAGTCTCGTCGATTCGACCGTTTCACCCTCGACGAAATCCGAAGCGATTTTTTAAGGAACAAAGACTGGCGGCGCTCCACCTTCCACGGGAAACCGATCGAACGACCGCCGGATCGTTCGCGCGCGGAACAATTGTACGCCCGACATCCTCCATCGTGATTCGGTACTCTTTCTTCCTTAAAAATTCGACCATCGAACGTAAAAGCAAAAAAGTAGCAGGTTTTTGAGCAGATACGCGTGCGCGTGATAAACGCGAGAGAGAGAGAGAGAGAGAGAGAGGAAGGAACGACGAGAAATATAATACGGACATCAGACTTTGTACTTTTGTACGATCGCTTTCTTAGACGACCGTTTGCGCGTTCGTTTCCCGGCGAGAACTGCGCGCCGCGCGAGTCGGCCGGTGGCGAGCGTAATTTAGCTTGCGCGAGGGGGCGAGGGACAAGATTCTCGTCGGAGGCTCAACAGAAATAAATGAAATATATATATATTTTTTAATATTCTCGTCTTACTCACCGAAACAATATATATATTATTAACATAAGGGACAAAATAAACGGGCAACATTCCGCACAAAGCTCTAGAACCGTTTCCACGCGTCAGACTCGCCCCCTCGGCGACGCCACCCCGCCTCGACGAGGCGCGGCCGCGACATTCGGCGGCCGGACGGCAGCGCGCGTCGCGTCCCGCGAACTTCCGGTCGGCGCGGATCGTCCCTTGTCCCGCGGATCATCGGTTCGATCGGATCGCGCCTCGGCCGAGGAATCCCGCGGACGTGTCGGGTCATCGAGAGCGAAGGGTCCGTGGATCGCTCGCGTGACGGGGAGAGGTGAACAAAAGCGTAGAGTAGTAATTCATTTAGTATATAAAACGCGAGACGAACGCGCGTCGCTGACGGAGCCGGCGCCCGCTCGGACGAGAGAAAGAGAGACTAAGGGGATAGAATTTATCTTTGCCCGGGCGTAGCGGCGCGGCGGAAGGGAAACGACGAAACAAACAAAGCAAGGAAACAAACAAAAACAGAGAGGAGTAAACACGAAAACGAAGAGGTAGAGGGAAGAAAGAAACTAAATTTTAAATGTTCAGTGGCCAAATAAATTAACTGATAACGCACGTAGAACGTAACGATACCGTACCTACATTGTAAGTAAGCCTGACTGACGTGTGTGGATGTGTGCGTGGGTCGCGCGCGTTAAATTCGACGATTGCCTGCACGTGTGTCGCGTCGGTTTCATTTTTTTTCTTTTCTTTTTTTTCTTTTCTTTGTCACCCGTCCCGGCGGGTCGCGTGTTGCGCGCGAGTGTTCTTCTTCCGTTTGCCCGTTCCTTTTTCCTGTTCCGTTCTCGTTT